ATAAATGTTTAGTCAAAATATATTTGCTTATCCCCTCCAAAAACTTGATGACGTCAGCTCGAAAGTTTTTCGAATAAATCATATCTAAAATGTACAAAATATGATGAGCCTGTACTTGTCATTTATCACTCCATTCATATTTTTTGGATTTGCATATACAGAGTGACTCAAAAAAATTAATGAATGCGTAAATATATTTTATTGATTTAATCAGGAACTACAAAACGGAATGCTCTGACATCTTGCAGATGTTTTAAGGTTATAAAGAGCATAATAAATGTTTAGTCAAAATATATTTGCTTATCCCCTCCAAAAACTTGATGACGTCAGCTCGAAAATTTGCCGAATAAATCCTATCTAGAGTATACAAAATATGATGAGTCTGTACTTGTAATTTATCATTCCATTCATATTTTTTGAATTTGCATATACCGGGTGACTCAAAAAAAAATGAAATCTACTGCGAAAAAAGAAACATAATAGACATGCAGTCGTCACGTTTCCGACAGCGAGGGAAGTACTGTCTAAACTCTTTAGACCAATTTTTTAGAAATAACGATAAACTTAATATCAGGCATATGATGCATAGTGAATTCTGAAAATGTACTAATTTTCGTTAAAAAGAACAACACATTATTCACGGGGCTCTAAGAAAAGGACTTCTAATACCTGCTCTTCGGTATCTACACTATGTAGAATAGTAATAAATGTATTATTTGCCTACGATGAAATGAAACAGCTTCTCTTATGACATGTACAGCCCAGTTAAACACAATTTAACTAGAATGGCAGCAGAAATAACTTCTGTCCCATGCTACTTGCCTTAAAGTAAACCTTGACGTCTCTGTGTACATTAATCAGTCATCTTTGGCGCAGAAGCATCTCTTCAGGTCAGTGATGAACTTCGTGACAGTTTATGACAAACAATTGTCAAAATGATTAAATTTATAACCACACTTCTGTTTCCTTTTGTTGACGGAGGGCGATTCGGAAAAAATTCATTCAACTTTAGTATTACCCGATTTTTTTTTTCTTGGCATAGGTAACTTTGAACCATGGCCGACTAGTATAAAGATTATGGCCTGTCCAAGAGGTACGATACGTGTTGCCATCTATTAATAATTACACTTAGGGCCGGTTGCATAAACGCAAATCAAATTTAATCTCTGATTAACTCCATTGTAACGATTGTTATTATCATAGTTACAATTGTTCTTAATCAGAGATTAAATTTGATTTGCGTTTATGCAACCGGCCCTTAATAATTTAGCAAAATTTTAATTTGACTTGACATTATGGGACTTCAAAACGTGTAATGGTGGTTTGTTTGGGTATGAATGCCTTTGTGCCTTTCAAAAGGTGTTAATAATTCTTTTGTCGATTTTGAATTATTAATAGATGGCAGCACGTATGGTACCTTTGGCATTCCTTTGGACAGGCCATAATCTTTATACTAGTCGGCCATGCTTTGAACATAGAAACGTTCGGATATAAAAGCAGCTTCTCTATTGGTCAACTTAATCGCCTTCCAGTTCTCACACGGTTAAAGCCTGGACAATTCTTTTTGCGAATTACGGCACAGTTCGGGACAGGGAACATGTCATTCACGGGAATGGCGCGAATTCTGGGACATCCTGTATAGTTCGATCGGGCAGAGGGAAATCCCTGTTATGCCCGCGTACAACAGTCATCATTATTGATCCAAAATGAAGTATAATCAATGGCTAGAGATCCATTTATCACCGTCACCCATATACTTATCAAAATTAATTTTGAAACTCAAAAGAGACGAGCTGTGGCAAATTGAAATCTCCAAGAACGACAAAGTTTGGATATTGGTCTGTTAGTTTAGAAAGTGCATCGTACAAAAGTGAATCACTACCAAGGTTTGAAGATGACGGACGGTATATACATCTAATAACAAGGGTGAAAGAAGCACGTGATACCTTCAAAAAAAGAGTTTCGATGTCATCAATAGAAGCATCAATAATTGAAATATTGTAAATTGAAGTTATCTTACGAGAAGCATACTATACACACTCCTCCTCCTCTCTTACCCTTTCGGTCAGATCTATAAAATTCATAGTCCTGTAACGCTACGAGAGAATCAGGCAAGTCCTTAACCAAGTTTCGGAAATTAGGATAAAATCTGGGCAGTTTACGCAGACCAAAGGCAGCAAATATTTGTATAAAGCACAAATGAGATAAATAATTCTTGCATAATATCCTCTTGGTCCATCCTAAATTTTAAATTGGGTGTGATTCATCATCAACAAACGATGACGAATCAGTAACATTTTCCTTTAAGAATTTGTCATAAGCTTTTTTCAGTCTTTTACATACTCTTTTGCAACGATTTCTGATACTACTATGAGTCAGTGACGGCGCAATATCACTTAACATTGAACAAACACCTTGTACATCGTTAGTATATTTATAAACTAAATTCACCTGTACTTTCGTCCATAAATTCAACAGCTTCAGTAAAATGCAGGGGATACCGACGATCCTGGTTGTCACTTAAAGGTTTTACCGGCAACAAAAGTTCAGGGGTAGCTACGCCATTTTCAGCTATAGTGCCAGGGCAATCTTGAGCAAAATGACCAGGGAGTTTGCATTTAAAACACACATCATCAAAGTTAAGGAATATTCTACAGTTAGTGTTGTCATGTTTAAGGACCATCGAGGCAGGAAGATCAAGAGATTCATTGGGTTGTACATATGTATCTGCCAACGAAAATTCAAAACGTGGCTATAATCTTCTCGAAGAATGGCAGTTTTCATAAAAGACATGTATGTGACAATGTAGTAAAACCTAATGAATAAGGTTCTCCAAAATGCTATGGGGAATTGAAGGTCACAACATTAGAGAGAATTATTCGCTTTGCTGGATTAATTAATCGACGGAGATTAACTTCAACGTCATTAATTTTAATAGTAGTGTTTTTTGAGACAATTTTATCAACGAGAGATTCGTCACTTAAGTAAATGCAAATTCTACTGTTTGACATACGCGACGCAAATATGACGTTCTTATTAGGCTGCACTAGCTCTCCGACAGCCAAAACATAATCTGTTAATTTTAGTTCATCATTAGCAGCTAGAATAATTGCTTGTTCTTTTTTCGGGAATTGGTTCATGTTGAGGACTACACTGAAAGGTTCTACAGTTAAACCTTTTCTCCTTCAAGAAATGTGTTAAATGTTAATCCTCAACATACATAAATACATTGAGGTAAGAGCAGCGATACGCCGCAGTTCCTCACCTCACCAAAGAAATGTGTTATCAGTCAGCAAAAACACAAGCTACCACGCAAGGCGATAAAACAGTTGAAGACAAATTGTTCAAAAACCACTTTTAGAATGGTTTAAATGATTGTTTGAAACATGCAATATCTAATATTAACGTTTTCTGCAATAATTATCAACAATAGTAAATTGAATATAAGGAACGAACTCACCAAATTGAACTTTTAGCGAGGAGCAAAATTCACAGCACCCACATAATGTCAACGTCAACGAGGTTTCTTATTATATCCAAAATGAAATTTGCAGGTGTTTTTGTTAGGTCGGAGATTCATTTTTGTGCTGAAGTGGTTTTAACTTTTTAACAAAAGTAGTTATTTTGAAAAACGGGTAGATTTTATAAAAAAATGGCGTGTGCTGAAGGGGCCTAACAGGAAAAAAGTCTTTAACACAAGGCAAAATACCTAATTTTGAGTGTTTTTGAAAGGGAAATTTGTTTTGTTACGAAACCGTATTCTTGTCTGGAAAAACGAGGTATTTTCTTTGAAATATTGACTTTTTTGAAAGAGTTCGCCTGGAAAAACAGGGCAAATTTCTCAAATATTTAACTTTATTAAAAAGTTAGCTTGAAAACCAGGGGCAAATGATTAAAAAAACAAAGTGTTCTAAAGCGGCCTTACTAGTAGTTATATTTAGTTTTCCCATTTTCATAAGAACAAAGTCGGTAGCGACAAATAAAATGATTTTGTAAATAATTAGTTAAGATTAGTGCGTTTAACGGTATTTATATGTAATTGTGATTGTTGTGTTGAAATTAGATTTGTTAACAGATTTGTTGTGTACGTTTTTTTGTTTTTCTTTCTAAATCAATTTTTGTAAGTAGGGTTACTTTAACGAAGCACTCCCATTCCAAAATCATCGTTTTCCTGAACAATTAATTGGTTCCTCCTTGTTAGATCATGTTAGAAATATGTACCTAAATATTTTATTGTTTAGATTGTTGTGCTTCTATTTTTTAAATAAATTCAATTTGAATAGATTTTGTGTGCAAATTTCAAATTGTTCGTGTTATCTGGAGCCCACAAATACTTGGATTCGCGTTTGGAATTTGAAGATCTGGAGCATAATTTTAACAAAATTTGGGATTTTTATCAAAGAAAATTTAGACTAGTTGAACCGTCCTGGATGATCACGAAACGTTTTGCTAACCTAAATTGAGATAAATTTGTGGAGGACTGCTTTGACAAACTCGTCATACTTGAAATAAATAATAAATATATTAAGCGAAAAAAAACTGGTGGTCATAAATATCGACAAATGGCTTTTTAAAAACAAATCCACATGTGAAACAAACTCCAATACAGTAATCAATAAAATATTTATACCATGGTACCACCTAAAAATGTTTTAAAGTCATAACAGTTATGTTAATGTGTGTAAAAGTTAAGAATTAAGATTGTTTTCGTTGGTTGACGGTTTCAGGTTTGAGCAGTGGGGTACTCTAGATGGAGTTTCGTCTACTCAGATTACCGACATTTTTTACGTTTTAGATGAAAATGAAACGATCAAAGACTAACTTTCAAAAACTTGTAGCTTTTTTTGAACATGTTTTTATTGCTTTCTCGATATTATTCTTTAGAAACCACAGTGAAACGGTATTCACGTTCACAAAGAGATGGAAGATGATATTTTTGTCACTGTCTCGTTCAATCAACATTGTGCACTTAGGCATTCAAAATATTTTAAACAAAAATATTTTAATATCTTACAACCATTTTATTTCTTAAAAAAATATAAAAAAGTGTGTTAGTCTAAATTTAGCTTCTTGAAAGTACCTTCAACTCCAAAAATATTGTTCACGCTGTCTGATGGACCTACTCTTTTACTTTCGTCGGTCGTCTGTTTGTCTTCCCATTCAAAAAATGTAGAATTTGTAAAATATTTATCTTTAGCTTTATCTGTAATCAGGAACAATATATTTCTTTCGCCACACAATTTGTAGACAATGCTTTATACCGTGTAGTTTTGATGTGTCCTCTGTGAAACCACCATAATTCTCAGGTAGGCATTCCAGAGGAATAAACTTCACCAATTCGTCCACTGTATTGTGCAGATACAACTAAAACCAAAAATAATTAAGTGCCTTTTTGTAAACTTAACACTGATAGGTACCATGTCTAAAAGTTCCATTTTCATCAAGGGTTTTACCAAAGCCAGTATTTTATCCATAAATGGTACAATGTTGATGAAATGTAATCCTTTTAATCTTATAGGCATCCCTTCTTGCAGATAATGAAGAAAATTTTTTAGAACCATTGGTCCGGCAATTATTACTTTAGTCAAATGCGCAAAAACGACTCCTTTCAGATCAGCAACAATCACATGTCCTGTGGACGTGCCTTCTTGGTACAGTTGTAACATGCAAGCCATATCTAAGTATTTTATGTGTTCTATAAAATTAAAATTGTCCACATCTATATTTACTAATTTCAAGAAAATAATTGTATAACCCTCTGGTGTTTTTTTAGGAAGACATGTGGCGAGGCTACGAATGAACAGGTAGGAATCAAATCGACATATGCGTGTTTATTACCTGTTTTCTATGGTTTTGTTAAAAAGGGGTAATAAAGTATTCTTATTTCTGAAAATTTCGGGATGGAGCGTTTTCATTGTAAAATACGTGTCGATGGTTTTCTTGGCTGCTTCATTGCTATAGTAACAACTTTGCAGGAACAGGATGGCTTGTAATTCTGTAATAAATAAATTGACTCATACGTGGAAACTAATTTTGGTAATTTCGTTCTTTTATAAATCAGGCATCTGTTTAGATTTTAGATCATTTTTTTTTTATTTTGACGCATAAACTGAATTTAAGTCGCTACATTTCGTGAAAACTATATCCTATCTATGTTTTATAAGTATTGTTTTTGGGTGATGTGAAGGGGTAAATATCTTTAAATTAAATTAAAGATTAAAAGGCGCAAAATGGGTTTATTGAAAATATGTTCGATAGTGCTATGCATAATAGGTGTTTTAACTTTGTTAAAAAGTTATGAACGATGTCACAAGCAAAGTACAAACGATCAACGTCAGCACGGCATAATTATAAAATGTAAAACGGTGTTATCAGTGTTTAAAATATGTTTATCTTTTTTATTTGAGACGAATACACTTACCATTAATTTCGGGTAAATGTGGTTGCTTGTTTGTCCATTGCACCAATGCCTCAACGTCATCTTTTTTCACGTTTTTGTCTTGAGCATACTCACTGCCGACATCAGCTAGGTGCAATTCCATTGTCACTGTTTTGTTTATGTGATGTAATTTTTATTGATGCATATATTAATTTAAGTGGCAGACACGTACCTACGTCTATTCATTTACTTACACTGGGTGACAAAAATGTGTAAAATAATTTTTGTATTATTGAAAGAAAGATATTTGAAAAAATTCGTTACGTACACTGAAGTGCATGTTTGCGACGCAACAACAAAGTTACAAATGCCGACAGAGTCACTTGTTTGAACTTTCACTAACTGCTGTAATTTGAAATCTTGGCCACAACAAAGTTTTCCACGCTGTTACATTAATTCATACAGCTATGCTCATGTGACCTTATATAATAAATGTGAAATTGGCTTAATAATTTTTCTAACGCTATCGTTTCTTTAATTAGTATTGCCAGTGCAATTGGAAGTAAGCCATTCCAATTAATGATTTATAAACTCTTCCCTATTTCTAACTTTAATGGACGGACGTATATAGATTATTCTGAAATATATGTATAAAAATACAAACCTGCTCGTTTAAAGTATTAGTTAAAATTTATTTATTTTTTTCTTTGGTAAACTTATAACTTAAAAAAAATAACAGTAATAAATACTTAGATTTTAACGGAAAAATGCGAGAAGTAGTGTTACATGATTTTAGGAAAATGCAGTTTTTGTTAGTTTATTTGCAACAGATAAAAATAAATAGCTAATTATATGTACCTATGAAAGAAATAAACTCGAAAAAGATTTCATAATGTACAACAATCCGGTTCTACTTAGTAGATAACCGACACTCAGATTCAATAAGTTGTTAAAATTTGTAAGATTTATGGTCCCCGTCATACATTTACAAATTCATTAATGTCACATTATTAGTGTCATGGCCTTAAATTTGTTGCACATGTTTTGTGCAGGGAATTTATTTAACACCAACCTACATACTGGTGCATAAAACGTAAAAGGTTTTTTAGAATTAATTATCGGAACTGGTTAATTGTTTTTAAGACATGGACACTCGACTATTCCATTTAATATTTTCAACAAAAATTTTACTATTATTAAAGTAGGTTTAATGTTCATATATCTTTAACACCTTCCTGATAAAGAACAGTAGGTAATGTTTAGAATTTCTTGAACATTTTCAAGAAAAAAACAGTAGAATTAAATTTTCATATGAATTTCTGGGACCAAATTGCCTGATTTCCCCGATATCTAATGCAGTCTCTTTTTAAAGCAAAATGGAGTTCCACAGGTGCGGTTGGTGCCAGGGCGCACAAGGGCAAACACACTGGACATATTTAGCAAGATAGTAATTTTCAGTATTTAAAAAATTATCCGGAAAGTGGCATAATTATCAAAACTAATTTTTTTATCTCGCTTTATTTGTATAAAATGTATCAAAACTTACATCTAAAGATGTTGTGCCTCGGATATATAATATTTTATTGCTGATGAAGTGCTGATCAAAGCGGAGGCGGAGACCAAATCGTAGTTCATTTAGACGTTGTGTTTACATCGTTGCCATGGAAACCGTGGGTCTAGTCGCGGTATTGGGCCGGAATCAGGTCCTGTTCCCACAGTGCCCACCAACAGTACCTCAGTTGCGGGTTTTAATTTTCATTCTACGCGAGTGAAATTGTTTGATTTTAAATAAAAATAATGAATTCGGTTGAATATTTAATAAAAAATCGTCCTCTGTGTCAGGACGGTAAAATTTTAGTGAAAAATTTAGGAAGGGCCACCTCCGATTTATTAATAAAAAAAAGTGTTCATGGCAAAACGAGAGACTTTTATAGATATTTTAATAAACGTAACATGTACGATAAATAATCGTGGATGTGCCGGATGCGCGGTTGTGAGAAAATAATAAATTGTTTTGTTTTGTATGTCTCCTCAGTAATGAGGATATTAATACTGGCATCGATGATCTACAACAACGATCTGCAAATTAGAAATGCCTATTTGTACGAAGTATTGTTAAAGAACATTAACGTGTAAATGTTAATATTCTTTGGTATTGTGCACTATAAACATTGTTATCTCTGCATATTTAAGCTGAGATTGAATTACTGGAAAATATAACAAACTTATGTTTTATTACAGTATTTAAAAAAATTCTATCTATTAGGCGACATAGTGTAGTTGACCTTGGCCGTCAATATTTAAATTGGCGCCGGAAGGGACCTTGACTACGGTGGCTACAGGAATCAAGAGATCCAGTTCCTTCTTTTTTTCCCAAGTCGGCGCCCAGTCAACATCTATTTATATACCAGAACCTCCTCTTCATTTCTAACGTATTTATAAGCAAAATAAACTGTTTCATTTCTACTGGTCTTCAAAATGAAACTTTTTCAAGTCACGAAAATAGACGTTCCTAATACAGGGTTGTTACAAGTGTTAATATTTGGGTACTTAAAAACCTCCGACGTAAAAAAATAACCCTTAAAATGTCTGTCATCGATGGTCGATGAGCTGTACCCGCTCGCTCGAACCGAGCTGATTTCTACGCCAACTATGTTAAAAGCCAATGATCTTAAAATGGCTGAAGTGATTAACATCAAACATAGCAAAGAACCATCCCGATTAAATCAGCTTTTAACGAAAAAAACCGTATTGAAAGCGGTCCATTGGTTTAGGAGCTACGATGTCACAGACAAATACACAAACAAGCAAAGGCTTCAAACTTAAAAATGGCTAAAATGATTATTATTACACATAGCTAAGAATCATCCCCAGGATTAAAAATGTATCTTCCATATAATTAATATCAGGACCAAATATATTTTTGATATCTTTTAAGGCTTTAGGAACTCTTTTACCGAAACTTTATTAATGGAAACTAAAACATCCTGTTTGGAAATAAAAAAAATGTAGATATAGAACAAGAGGATCAAGAAGGCGACATATTTGCATACATATACATATTGTATACGCCGCTCCGGCACCACGCCTATGGATTCCTCGAGAGCCTTCTGGTATGTACGACGATGATGGCTGACTCATCGGTGACGGCAGCCGGGCGGCGTTCGACTAAAGAAAAGCCTGGAAGCGGAAGTTGCGATGGGCACTCCAGAACCTTGATCGTGAAATATCTTGAAATGAGCGGTGGCTGTTTAAATAGGGACCACCGGCCGGAACGGTCAATATAATCCAGGATGGGCTATATAAATTTGTATTATTGACGAATAAAATGTTGAGTTTTACCCAGGCCGATTTTAATTACCGATCATCGTAACAATATTATGTTTTACAAAGAGGGATGATTTTTAACGAGGTCTAAACATAACCCAGTACTACTACTACTGCATTACTAACTCTGTAGATATCACATAAATATATTATTCATTATCTGAAATATGTCGGTTTCTGTTTTTTCAGGGTCAAACGTCTTTACGCGTATCTTGGTATACAAAACAACGGACAGTTGAAATAATCTCGTCGTGATTAAGGAGAATTATAATAAAGTTATAATTTTAACTAATGGAAAGCAATTCTAACGATAGAAGAATTGCAAGCAGCACTTAAGCATTTTAAAAAAGGTAAAGCTCCAGAAAAATACAAAAATACAACACCAGGGGTGGGATTTTGTTTTTACCGATACGATACGAAGCGATAACGAAGCGATAAATGACAAGGACGAAAATATAAATTTCAGATGCGAAAGAAAAAGACGACCACATTTTATCGGTATCGATATTTTATCGTTATATGTACACTAGGAGTCCCCGAGATTCTTTTAAATTCTTCTACAAATAGAACGTCAGGGACATCCAATATTCTATCAACATTTTCCGAAAATAAAGCACCAGGGTTATTAGAGATTCTCTCAACTTTTTGAAAAATTAAAACACTAAAAACCCTCGAAATTTTTTATTGCTTCTAAAAGAAAACACCGGGAGCCCTCGCCATTCTTTCAATTTTTTCTAAAAATAAAACATTAGGAGACCCAAGATTCATTCAGTTTTTTCCAAAAATGTGATACAGGAAGACCTCGAGATTTTTTTTTTAAATTCTTCCAAAACTAAAACACTAGGAGCCCCCGAGATTCTTTCAACTTCTTCTAAAAATAGAACATCAGGGACAACCTCTTCCAAAGATAAAGCACCAGAGTTTCTAGAGATTCTCTCAACTTTCTGGAAACTTAAACACCAAGATCCCTAGAAATTCTTTTACCCCTTCCAGAAAAAAACACCTGAAGTCCTCAAGATTCTTTCAGCTTCTTCAAAAAGTAAAACACCAGGGCACTCGAGTTTCTTTCACCTTTTTTAAAAAATGTGATACCAGAGAAGCTCGAAAATTTTTTTAACTTCATCCAAAAATAAACTACCAGTGGATCACAAGATTCTTCGAACGTTTTCTAAAAATCGCTCGGAGCCCTCGAGATATTTTCAACTTCTTCCAAAAATACAACAAAAGAATCCTATACCGAGAAAACTGTCGACAAGTTATATTTAAAATTCTATCACAATTAAGTTTGTTAATAACGGAGATTTTATAATATTGAGAGACCCAACTGCCCTTAAGAAAAGGTTCAGATACACAACAAAAAAATTGTCGAAGATTATTTCGCCAGAACTTCCCTCGTCCATAAGGTACAGTCATCCAGCCGTTTGGAAAAAATATAAAATTTCACACGTTTTTAATGCTTCAACTTCCGCTTTTTAAATAAAACATTGCATTTTATTTTGACTTTCGATGTTGTAATTCACATTTGGTTAATCATAACTTGTCTAGGTCTAGGGGAGGCAAAAATTTCTTTAGGACAGGCTCAGCCACCCCTAGCTACGACCCTGCCTAGGGGTTATGAAACATGGAGAAAATATGAAAGTACCAAGTTGCCCGATGGATTCGATTACTATACCTACTTGCTTAGATTATGCTCAAGACCTCAAGAAGTAAAAATCGCCTTTCGGCAATAATAACAATAACAAGAGTTTATGTTTATACACTGGAAAAATGTTTTGTAAAAATTAGTTTGACTTGAATGAGTTTGTGGCCTCAGAGCAGAGAATTAAAATTATTAATTACCTACACAGTCGAACAAAATGTGCTGAATATTATTACTATGTATAATTCTCATTTAATTCAAGAGTATTAAATAAAAAAGTATGTATTCTCATATTTTCTAGAAAATAGGGTGATTCCTTCTTAATTTGATCAATAAAAAATTAGTGGTAAACTTTATGAAATTAATTTTATCTAATCAAAAAAGGGGGTATAATAGTGTTTAGATATTTTGATTAAAAATATGCTTGCGATAACCTTGAAACGTCTGCAAGATTTCGAAGTATTCAATTTTGCAGTTCCTGATTTAATCCATAAAACAAATTTCTATTTTTAGATCTACTTTGATTAAAAATTTAAAACCTAATTGGTAGGAATGATTAGACCAAGTCTGGTTAGCGTTTTACCTACCGTCTACATGATATTCTTAATATAAATGCAAAATTTGACAACAATCGGTCTGGTAGTTTCGGAGATTCTTTGTCTAACAAAAATCCACACGGAAGGCGGACAGACAGATCTTTTTTTTGTCGTACCCTGGAGGTCATGACCCGATTACAATACTTTCTTAGTCTACGGGCAGGAAGTAGCTAAGTTCTTAAGATCTTTTAAAAATAGATGGACTAGGCTGAGCAGAGAAGTTGTGCAAAAGTCAGAAATTGCTGTGGCGACAAGAGCTTGTTCAAATCTTGGAAACATTGTTTATAAAGTTATAAAGGAAGCTAACCATTGTTAATTTAAATAGGTTATAAGTTAGGTAATAATTCAGGGTTATGATAAAGAAATGCACAAAATTCATAAAAACCGCAGCATTTGTTTTTGAAAAAAACATTACGTCAAAAAATTTTACGTCAAATTTGTAAAAGTTATGACGTCATCAATGATTTTATTAAATGAGACGCTATAATTTTGATCGGATTATTTGATCAATTATTTTTCTAATAACTAAAAATAATGAAGAAAATTAATAACAAACGAAATAAACATGAAACCAAATGAAATCGAAATAACTAAAAATTAAAACAAAAATTCTTTGTCAAAGAGAATCGTTTTGTCAGTTTCTAAGTTGGTTTAATAAATTAAAGAATACTTTTTGGCTGTATGTAATCTGATAGTTGTAAAATTTAATCAAATAGGAAACGTGAGAGATGTTCCAAGTTGTGGAAGACCACAAATAAACCATAACACCAAGTTGATTCTCTTGTTATCATTGGAAGACAACCCCTATGTAGCAACGACGGAAATAGGTCTCCGGATCCCCTTGATTTCTTTTTATGAGGACATTTAAAAACTTGTGTTTACATAAACAGACCCGATAATTTAGGCGACTTGAAAGCACGAATTCGTTATGAAATGACTCTTATAAGTCCCCCGAGTACTGAAAATTCCGTCAATCAGGTCTACCATCGTCTACCTAATTGCGTCTTAATTCTAATGAATGCATATTGAATTCTAACAACAGACGGTCCTGAGGGTAGCCTTGAACAGGGTAAACATGATATTTCTTAAAATACAGATACTTGCAGAATTTTCGTTGAACATTCTCTATTTCAGCAATATGAACATTATAGAATGGCGTCCAGATACTGGAACAGTACTCTAGTTTTGTTCGTACGAATGCGTTATGAAGAGTCATTAAACACTCTAAGTTTTGGAAGCTGTACGTATTTCTTTTAATAAAATCTAACGACTTTAGGGCGCTGCTACAAACTGAATTAACATGTGGTACAAAAGAGAGAGAAGAGTCTAAAATAACGCCGAAGTCCCTGATTTCCTTACAACGTTTTAATTGAATTCCCTTAACCGTATAATCATAAACTATAATATTGTCTTTACGAGAGAAAGTCATACAATAACATTTTAGAATATTGATTTTTAATTTATTATCATCAGTATATACTGTAAACTTGTTCACATACTCTTGCATTTTGTCACAGTCCTTTATCTCTCGAATAATTCTTGCAATTTTTATGTCATCAGCATACATAAAAACCTTACCATCAATACGTTGCACCACATCATTGATAAAAAGATTGAACAATGTTGGACCTAAATTTGACCCTTGTAAAACACCAGATGATGTTAAAAACTCATTAGATTTACAGTTTTTGTATTCTAGTGATACTAAGCCATTGCATAAACCGTAATGAGAAAGCTTGTTAATTAACAAATGATGATCTACAACGTCAAATGCTTTTGACAGGTCTGTGAAAATGACATCAACTTGGTAACCGCTATTTAATGCATTGGATACGTACTGAATGAATTCACATAAATTTGTGCTGGTAGATCTGTGTTTCATAAAACCGTGCTGTTTACTGACAATTAAAGATTCAGTATGACTATACAGTATATCTGATAAGATATAATCAAAGATTTTGGCAAAATTATTTACTATAGCTACAGGTCGGTAATTTGTTATTTCTTGTTTAGACCCTGACTTAAAGAGTGGCGTAACTTTTGCTAACTTCCAACAATTAGGATAAGTATAATTATTGATTACTAGGTTATACAAATAACACAATGGCTCACATAAACATGAAATAGTGTCTTTAACAAAGAATGCCGGTATGTAGTCTGGTCTTGCGGTAAAATTTGGTTTGACGCGTTTAACAACTTTGACGACATCACTTGGTAACACTTTAAACATATGTAGTACGTGTGCGAAATCACAGTCAGATTTTGTGCTATCAAAGACGGAATTATTTTTAGTATCACTAGCGATATCACTATATGTATCACATATTTTTTCACTGGTTTCATAAACTTTGCTATTACCGTTAGATACATAAACTTCGTTAAAATATTTGGCAAAGGCGTTAACAATGTCGGTTGGACGCAAATACTCTTGACTATTGAAACTCATCTTTCCCGGAATTCTTGATGTTTTCTTCTTCACATCGATGTAAGACCACAATTTACAGCGATTGTTTCGCAATTCTTGTTCGATTTCAGTTATATACTTGGCATAATCTATTTTTATCATACTTTTTATATCACTACACAGTTTCTTAGTCACGTCGGCATAAAATGTTGATTTTGTCCTACTGTACATTTTCCTAACATGTTTTTTCCTAGATATGATTCTTATTAGGTCACGAGAATACCATTTAGGAAATTACGACGATTTAGACTGGACCTTTGGTACAAAGGAATCTATAATCTGTTTCAATTGATTGTAAAAGAAATCACATGCAGCATCAATGTTCTCAATGTTGTACAAGTCAGTCCAAGATTTGCATGCTAGGGTACAATACAGATTGGTCAAATCCGCTTTCTTATAATTATAGGAGAAATTATTAGGTGTCAAATTAAAACGAGAAATATAACTGGATTGATACCAGGAGAGTATAATGATGTCGGTCTTCATTGACAAGGGGATGATTATGCTGTTGAACTAAAACTTCCATTTCTTGGGGACAGAGAACAAGGTCTAAGTAGTGTCCATAAGCATTCGAAATCTGATTTACTTGTTTTACTGAGTTGTACGTCAAAAATTCTCTGAGGATACGCACATTTCCTCTGCATTGAACTACGTTATTTGTTACTTTATAGTCTGGAATATTAAAGTCGCCGCTTATCAACGTTAGTTCCGAGATGTTCACTGATTGTTCAAGGTATTCAAATATAGACTCATAAATAGTACTACGTGATGCTGAGGGTATATACAAAGTAATTATGTTAACGAAAGTGTTGTGAAAGTATACTCTTATTCCGATGAGATCCACCTCTTGAACAGGGCTTTGTAAGTTTAGATTTTTTGAAGAATAAATTGATTTGATAGCAATTAAGACACCACGGCCTCTATAACCACCGTTACAACGAAATACATCATAATCCTGTCAAAAGTATTCGGAAGATTGAATATTATCTTCTAGCTAGGTTTCTCTAAGTAGGATTGCATCACTGTCCGATAGTAGCAGGTTTAGATAAAACTCATCTTTGGTGTTTAATCCTCGTACATTCTGAACCGTGACTGAAAAATTTACAAGTGTGTCTGGCTGCTGGACGGGAGTGCGTTTTTTTCACTATTTTAGGAATTCCTCTATAATATTTAAGGATGATGTCATTTTCACCATTAGCGGTTCGATTTCGAAAATCATTACGTACAATGTAACTCTGATTACGTTGTCGAAATGTTAAGTCTCTATTCAGGTAGACTTAATTATCTTTCACTTTGTAATTCTTTAAGATGGACAACGCGACATCAGAAGAGTTAAAGCGTAATTGAATAGGGCGAGAATGATTTTCGTTATTCTTACCTAAGCGTTTGCAAGAAACAAAACTTACATTGGGACAAATCTTTGTAATTAATGTTTAATGTAACACATCTTCCATAGTCATCCTTTATTTTATCATCATTGGATTTTTGAGCGGATTCTGGTATATTGTAAACAATGACATTGTTCGCTTTTTGTTGACGTTCTTCTACTTCTGCAATAATTTCATCCTCTGATAACGCATTAACAGAGAGCGGCTTCTTCGGATAATGTTTGAATTTGGGTTTTCAGGGCTTTAATTATATCCACAATGTCACAGTTCTCACAATAAAAATGGATTTTTTTGTTTTTACTACGTAAGCTGGTATTTTCAGACTTTGTTAATCCGGCACACTATTGATGTAAAAATTGTTTACAAATGTCACAAGATACACCTTCAGTAAACTTTTGTTGGCATACTAAACAATTTGGATGCATATTTATCGACACAAATTAGGATTTTATGAAGACTATTAAAAGAATTACTATCGCCGCGTCAGCATACAGCACCTAAAAATAAGCTTTATCAAATAATGGAATCAAAATTATACTTACCTTCCTATTAAAAAAAAATCATGGATGACGTCATAACTTTTAGAAATTTGTCGTAAACTTTTTTGACATTAGTCAAAAGATGGAGAGTAAAATAAAAAGCTTGACATGTTTTTGCATTTTTTTTCAAAAACAAATGTTGCGCTTTTTATGAATTTTGTGTATTACTTTATCATAAGCCTGTATAATTAATGTTGTAGTGGTTATATTCGTTAATAAAATTAATTAAAATTAACAAGAGTTCTAATATGTCTTTTTATCATTGCCTACAAATCTACTTCTTGAATAAAAATTTTAACTCCAGTTTATCAACTCTCAACTAGATATAACGGATCACAAACATATTTGAAAAATTCCGACTTCTCCAGCATTTAAATCACCGACAAATAGACTTTAACCTACGTAGGCAACACATCGTGCAGCTGTACAACCTGTCTAGTCCACTCGTGCAGAGATGCCGCCGCGGCACCTGGTTTCAGCCACCTGCCTGAACATCTCTCAGCAGAAGTCGTGTCTTCAGCAACCCATTCAACTGCAACTTGCAGCGCCGCGACTTGTCGTGTTTCTGTTTACATAATACGAACACCGCCAAATTACATTCTTGTGTCAGTGATCCTTTCAGGACTTTTTCAGTGCAACATGAGTGGAGTGTCAAGGTTTGAATTTGTGGTGATGTGGGTGGTGTGTAAGTGTTAACCCTCTGGATTAAACATCATCAACCACGGATTTCGTCAGGGAGAAGAGGGCCAGGAGCAAGTTGGCGGTTTTAAAATCAAGGTCAGTGATTTTTTAAGTTTTAGTTTGTTAGACTTTTTTTGAGTGGCACCAAGTCCGTGACTAATTGGAGTAATAGAAGTAAAATGACGCTGCATTCTTTAAATAAAGACAACTTTAACTTTGTAGCAGGAGTTGACGATTCGGTTTGAATTTGATTCTTTTTTGTTGTATCTGTAGTAGCAGCTTTGGTGGGGAAGAACTGAAGAAGTTTGATGTGCTTGGGTTTATGTCATCCATTTTTTTATTGGTCACGACTTGAAGTTCTCGAATACGTGAAATGTCTACAGTGTAGAATGTTTTGCTGTAATATTTTTTTTAATTAACACATTTATAGGAAAATTTAACAAAAAATGATGTGCACAAATAACTTTTTCCAATAATATGCACAACTTGATCATATTATATCAATACGGGTTTAGCCGGAAATGAAAACAAGTTTTTTTTATCACCCATACAAGTAAAAGTAATATAAATTCAGTCGATTTTTACCAATAACGAAAATTTTAATAAGAAAGTTTAACGAAGCATTTCTGATTGTTGTCCTTAAATTTGACCTGGAATGAATGGTGGGCTTTTTTTGTGTTTTTGTTTTGGACCCTAGACTTCAAACAACACCGATGCGAGTAACAATAATAATAATCTTTATTCCTACAAGAAAAATCTTATTACAGAAATAATACATTAAATCATAAAATACTTGTAGGTGACACAAGTAAGACGAAAATAGCGTTTATTGTATAGAAAATAACGAAATAACTATAACTAAATTAAATATATGTTACACCTTACTGTAACCTACTTAATATTCGAGATATGTCTACACACTAAAGATAATTAATCAACGTGTATATTATTATAGTAAATAACTCACACATTAACGATACAGGGGATCTAATTAAAGCGTTAAATCAACCAGTATTGCGATAGAATAAAATATAAAATTAATACATGACTATAAGTTTGGGCAAACTGACTTATTATTTACGATGCTATATAGGAAACGAATATCTAGTATACTGCAAAGGTTGCTCAGCAGGATGCAGCTGAACGTGTTAAGTAATTCAAAGTGATCAGAAACTTGAAACGGATAAGAACCTCAAAAATACAAACTTTTTGAGAATTTGTCTTTGACCAGACAAGTGTTTACGAAGAATTTTATGAATAGGATATCATATTATAAATCCATATTCAAGCAGTAATGGTACTAAAGAAAAAGGTAACAATTTCTACATGAAGTTTTTGAAAATGTATAGAATATGCAATATACGGATACGGTAAATAAAACAATAGAATTTCAATGCTTTATTAGTTATGTTATTGATCTGGTCAACAAACTAAATTTATTGCCAAAGGTAATGGCAAATGCAGATTTGTCGTTCTGAAATATTTTTATTTATTATATTATTATTAAAGCTCGTAATTATATGCAGAAAAAAACATGTAAATATGTGCATAATATATGCAGACAAATTTGGCATTATATGCAAAAAATTGCTGAAATTGTTACACATTAATATTTTATTTCTATCATTTCTTACAATACTTATAACTTAGACAGTACATATTTGGACTTAAAACTACACATTTACCAATTAAAACTATGGCACCGGTATTCTATTACTCTATTCATTAGCTATTTTATTGACTAACTAGTAACTCTCTTGAAAAATGTTATTATTTACATTTATTCTAATGTGTTTTTCTAGATTTTCTATTTTAAATGAATGTCTTCGATCACTTAAAATATATTTATACACTGAAAAACTATGTTCTAAATGGACAGATTTTATTGGGGCATATTTAAGGGATGCCACAATTTGAGAGTCTCAACTGAAAACTGTCCATCTAAAACTTTTACCACATTAGATATTCTAGTAAAACCCCCATTTTTACTAAGGACTTCGTCTAGTTTTTTGAGACTGTTTGAGCAATAGGACCTTGTGCTTTATTGATATTGTAATTCCCGCCTTTAATTGACCTTGCAAAAGTTTGAAAGGCCCGCGAAAAATTAAAAAAAATCAAAATTTGGCCTTGGGTGTGATCGTCTAACAAAATGGGAACCTACGTTGTGTGTTTTTTTTTTTTGAAAAGTGAGACGTTCTTTCATACAAGTGAGCATACACTGCGTGCGAGTAGAGAGTGCAAGAAATAATAGACAAAATTTTTAGGAGGGGGTAAAAAAAATTGCGCCCCATTTCTAGGAGGAAAGGAGCTGCGAGCGAAGGCGACACGGACTTGTCATCTTGTATTCACTCCTCAGCCCCAAAACCCCCTATTGTATATTCATGGAGATATTACATCTCAAATGAAACACCTTAAAACTATGAAAGAAAAGGCACTCACGAAGTGACAGACATACACATATGAAAAACGAACAAACGCAAAATCCTATACAACTGTTTGGAATCAATGCAAATATTTGAATATAACAAATTTAATAAAAACAAAGCAAAATCTGAATTAAAGT